TACTTTTCAGTTAAATGAGTCAATAAACTTAAGCCTGTTTGAGTCACGTTATCTATTACTGGCAACCCAAAGCATCCTAAATAATACAATGATTTTACACAACAGTAAAATATCCTATTACATGGATGTGTTAAAAGCATTTTCATTCCTACTATTCAATTTAATCTCAAAGGCATCTTATGAGGTTAACAAATTTGGCAAGTGGGTAACGAAGGCCTGGAGGGGAAAAACCGATCTATCCAAGATGACACAGCTGGTTAGTGGCAGAACCAGGCTTCCTGACTTTTTGAACAGAGCTTTTAACACTCAGTTACACCTCAAGGAGAGGGATTATGGCCCAGTCAAGAGAATAATTCTGAAGGATGGGACCATAATATTAGGCTGACAGTTAGCATGTGCAAGTGGCCTGTCATGTGAATCAGCTCCACCTCGGATTTGAAATCTAGGATGTAAGGCATGAAAATGTTTAGAGATCAGAGTAGTGGTTCTTAAACTGTGGTCTGGGGACCCCTGGGGGGTTCCTGAGATCTTTTCAATAGATTTGCGTCAAAATATTTTCATAATAATGTTAAAATGATATTTGCCCCTGTTCCATTCTCATTCTCTCGTAAGTATTTGGTGGAGTTTTCCAGAGGCCGCATGACATGTGATACAAAACAAACTGAATGCAGAAGGAAACATAAGAATCCAGTTGTCTTCTGTTAAGCCAGAAACATTAAAGAAATTTCAGGAATATCAAACAATGCCACTCTTCTTACTAATTATCTTCTTGTTGTTTGGAAAATATTTTTAAAAAATGTGTTACTATGTTAACGTAAATGTTTCAATGATTTTTGAAAAATATAAATAATTTTTTTTCAGTATTAACTTTGAACACAGTACGTATGGATAGACATAACCTACACAGACAAAAGTTGTTTGGGTCCTCAATATTTTTAAGAGTGTAAAAGTGTTTTGAGGGTATAACATTTGAGAGCTGTTAGGTTAAAGGATAAATATGACATTTGATTAAACTTCTTTCAGGAGACTCATTCAAACAAGCCTAGACTCTTTTTGACTATTGACACCTAGACTCTAGCCACAAAGTACAAAGTGAACTGGAGATTCAGCCATTGATGTGTAGTATGATCAGCATGGTTTAAACCAAGTTGTACAACTTTGGTCAAAAGTTCCTTTGGGGATCAGAATGAATTTGTTGCCTACTTTGATCAAACTGATCAGAAACTGACAGGCTCTGTCCATTGCTCTGTAGACACATGACGCCACTGGAGTGCTATGTAGTGAGAGGTAACATTGTGATGGCAAGCAACAGAAGATGACCTGGCTAACTGGGCAGAGAAGTTGCTTATCAAAAGGATCTTGGGAGCTCTCAAAGACGTTAGGAGAAATGGAGAGCCAGGCTTGAAGCTAAGCCTCTGGGAGCAATGAAAACATCACTCCAAGGAACTAGCTAGATGGACAGAACACCACCACCCCTGTCGTCCCACCAAGCCCTTGAGGAGACCACCCACCCCTCTGTGCCAGGATCTCAACCTTACAAACATTGTCATCCCAAAAGTCAGACCCCTTGCCACCATTCTTGCCAGCAAAATGGATCTCCTGGAAATCTCTTTCCTGGAGTTGCTCTCTTTGGAATCAAAGTTTATAGGAGTGTGTCTGATTGGCAGAACCTGAGTCACATGCTTTCATTCAAGTTGCAAGAAAGGCTGGAATTTGATTTGAGTTTTATAAATTCTGCCTTGGAGAGGTGGGATGCACAGGGCTGAAATGATCCCAAACATTGAGAAAGTATTTAACAAGAGCCAAGAAGTCAGAAAACACAGCTGACGTCTGCAACATGTGGTGTTAGAAGCCACAGAGTTGTGGTTATGCAGAAGGTGCCAGAGTTAGGCAGATCTGGGTTTGAATTCTATCTCTGTTGCTGCTACCAGATGTAGGACCTTAGGAAAATCACTCAAAGTCTCAAAGTTTCAGTGATCTTACCTACATCTTTGGGTAGATATGAAGATTAAGTTAATTCCTTAGATGAAATAACATGTAACATAATATTGTGTGTACCTAATAGGCATCCCATAAATAGTAGCCATTAATATTACTGATCTTCAGGTTTTGCAAATAGACGCATTTTCCCCTAAAGGGGTAAAGGGAAGCCAGGGCACAAGGATGCCAAGGGACTTGCACAGAATTTAAGCAAGAACTAACATCAGGGTGTGCTTCTGAGCTCACTGATTCTGGGTCCAGCTCCTATCTCAGTTTTTCAGACCCATCACCTACTTCTGTAATCAAAATGTGGCAGAAGTAATAAAGATCTCATATTACCCAATTTTTTTTTCGGTGGGGACATTTAAGGTAAATTTTATTATCTTCCTAATCTTTTCTGCATTATTTGAAAATTTACTAATCAGTACACAGTATTAAAAATTTAAAAACAGCAGTAAAGCTGTTTTTATTCTGGGGAACAAAGATCTGTCTCAGTTTCAGTTCCCCTCAAAGCTGAGCCTAAGCTGAGGATTTGGGTCTTGAGGGTAATTTATGTAGGAGGCGACTGAAGTCTAAGTCCTGGTTTTCTAAGGTCTGTTTATTCATTTACTTATTTTTAATGGAGGTACTGGGGACTGAACCCAGGACCTCACGCATGTTAAGCACACACTCTACCACTGAGCTATACCTTCCCCTAGTCTTCATTTTCTAATGAAACAGAGAATCTAATGAGCATTTCCCAAGTGTGGATCAATATCAAGAGTGTTACCAGAGATAACCTACATAATAGGGTTCTATGAACAACTGTGGGAGATGCTGGGACAAAAAGGTATTTTTACTGCAGGACTTCTCAGGGCCTTTGGCCTGCTGATGCACGTTGAGAATGCCTAAGTGGGATGTACAGCCCAGTCCCTGTTGTTATTCCAAGAGGACTTTGTAGGATTAATACTCTCCTGAGTACTTTGGGAAATGTTGCATGATCTCAGAGGTCACTTCAAACTATAAAGTTAGTGATTTCTATGATCTCATTTAGTCTTTCTCCCAAGTCAGTAAAATGAGGAGCCATGTTGAGAATCACTTGGTCAAAACCAAGAAGCCAGTTGTGAGCATAACTGGACTCAAATCCAAATCTTTTGAGCCAATTTTTCCCCTACAGTGTGAGGAGGGCAGGCATTGTGGCTTGAATTATGCTCCCCAAGAAGTTAGGTCAAAGTTTAACCCCCATACCTCAGAACGTGACCTAATTTGGAAACAGAGCCTTCCTAATTTTGAAACAGATCATTAGCGTGGGACCTGATCGGAATGACTTGTGTCCTTATAAGAAGGAGAAATCTGGACACACATGCTCATAGATGGAAGATGGTGTGAAGATACAGAGAGAATGCTACGTGAAGGAGGAGGCAGAGATTGGAGGCATGATGCCGCAAGCCAAGGAATCTTGGGCTGTTGACCTGGGACCTGGGACCTTTTGCTGGAGTGCTTGCACCTGGACAAATGTCTCCTGTGAGCAACATAATACAAACAAACTAAGATGAAAAATAACTGCACCCATGTGCAGTTGGGGCAATTATGAACAGTAAGATACAAAAAGGCCACAAACCAGCTGCCCCTTCTGAGATGCCGAGAGCAAAGCACGGTACCGAGAGGGTAGGCAGACCACCTAAGCTACATTTCCTGCCCAACCCACCGATCTGCCCCTACCCTCATTCTGTTTAAGGGACCAGCTCGCACCCGCCGTGGAGAGCGAGCGAAGGAAACTGTTACCCACTTTCACGCCCTCATCCTGCAGCAGGAGTCCCACAAAGCCTTGCCTGAATTTCTCGTCTGGCCTCTTATCAATTTCTATTGATTAGAGCGTCCAAGGAACTGAGTATTAGAAGCTGAGAGCGGCCGGAAGGATCTTTATCCTGTACGTTTCAGAGGGCCACCACCTTGCCAACCCCTTGATTTTGGACCTCTAGCCTCTGGAACTGTTGAAGAATACATTTCTGTTTCTCTCAGCCACCCAGCTTGTGGGTAGTTTGCTATAACAGCTCCAGGAAACAAACACAGCAGATGCGATAGGAGCCCTAGAATGGACGCGTCTAGGCTCCGTTTGGTCGGGCCCAGGTCTGAGCTCTGAACACAGCAGTGCACAGCGGCCTGCAGGGAGAGCTGCCGGCCTCAGCCCCGGGGGACAGGGCTTCTGTTTAACAGCTGAGAACAAGGGGATTCTCCACGCTTTCCTCAGACCCAGGCTCTCTCCTCCCTCGTCTTCTCACCTCAGCAACAAACAGGAGAACTTAGAGGCTCATAAACCTTTTATAAACAAACAGAGTCCCTTTCATGTTCATTTTCCTTGTGTCTGGGCAGGGCTGTTTCCTTGTGCTGGGCTGCCGGGCCATGGAATGTGACCTCTCTCTGTGGAAAGAGCCAGGAGCAAGCTTTGCCAGCTGAGTTGGCAGGGACAGAGCTGCCCCCGGTGTAGACACCTGTTGCTCCAGTCTATTTACAGAGACCTCCTGGGTGCTCACTGCCCCAGGCAGGGCTTGAACCTCTGACTGTAATGAGTCACTTCTGCATTGTCATGATAAGATCTTCTGATTCTGTGCCCATTACAGGGTTCTGAGGTGTTAGGTGCAGAGGATTAAATCCCTGCACTGACTATAAAATAGGCAGGGCATCCCCATTTTACTGATGAGCAAACTGAGGCCCAGATGGATGAAGGGACTTTTCCCAGAGTCATGGAACTAATTCATGGCAGAGCCGAAACTGCCCTAAAAAAAGGAGCTGCATGTGGGAGGAACTGAATATTTATCTGAGAAAATACAGCTGTAAGGCAATGGGTACTTGGTGGGCTGAGGAAGGAGCAGTTGCCCAAGGGAAATGCTGAGAAATGGGAGAATAGGGGGGCTAAGAGCCCCAACTTTAGAGTCAGAACTGGCTTTGAATGTAGGTTTTGCTAAATTCTAGCTGCATGATTGCAAGTTGCTCTCTGTGCCTCAGTGTATCTGATAAATGAAGAAAATAGTTGTACCTACTTCATTAAGCTGTCCTGGCCATCAGATGACAGGATCCGCATGTTTGACTTGGTGTCCGCAGCGTGGGGACCATTGGACACATCACAGGTATTGCTGCGGTGGAGGTCAGTAACAGCTCTAGTCACCCTGCGCCTTTGACTGGAGCCGACCTGGTGAATGCTGGTCCCTCTGTGGTAGGTAGGCTCAATTTTGGAAAGATGATGACCACATTGAGGAGGAGCTGGGTGTGGCTCCAAGCCAGCAAAGTCCCTCGGAAGCTTGTGGAGCTGGGGAGCAACTGGGGATCCTAGCCCGCAGAGTCTACTCCTGCAGCATACTCTGAGGGCCTGTGAACAAAACAAAGCAAACCTGGGATGAAGTTTCCAAACTGCTCTCAAGTGCTGCCAAGCCTGGATCTGCTTTCCAAGCCACACGGAGGCAGCTTCATCCCCTACTCCCTCAGAGGCAGGGCCCCGTGACCCTTTGGGAGCTGGAATCCATCCTGAGCAATGGAGCAACTGCTGGACAGAGTTCATGCTCCCAGGAGGATCCTGGGCTTTGGACCCTGCATCCCTCATGCTGAGCTGTGCCAAAAGGTGGAGAAACAGGGTTGGGATAAAATCCAGGGTCAGGAGGTCAGCTCTGCTGAAGGGGACTATTACCCTGGAGCCCCTCAGGCTCTTTACTCTTCTCCTATAGAAACATCTATGCACTGCCTATCCCCTGGGGTAGACCTCACAGTGGCACTCCCTTGCTTCAGAGTCTTCTATGGCTCCCTATTACCTGTACCTACTTAAAATTCCTAAGCCTGACATTCAAGGCCCATGGGGGTCTGGCCTCGGTATTCCTCTACAGCCTGGCCCTTACTGGGCTCCACATGAGCCCACACTCCAGCCATGTCCAGGACTTGCAGTCCCTCACATGCACCTGTGGCTTCTACTCCACCATGTTTTTCTTGTGCCCATAAGAGACGAGACATCGTGAAGACGTGGTGGGTGCTCGTTATGCATCAACTGAATCAAATCATACTATATTTTGCCCTCTTGTCATCCTTCCAGAGAACAATAAAAATGAAGACATGAACCAAAATAGCTGTGAAAACTCCACCTTAAACAATAAGGATCATAGAAACGAACTCCTGATACTGCCGTGTCCATCTCAAGCCAGGACTGCAAGAGGCTTAGTCTAGCACTAAAAAAGGGGCAAACTGGAGCTTTCGTTCTGCCCTGTGTCTGGGCGCTAACAGCCCTGGAACGGAATATCCCACTCTTTGCCCCTTACTCCACATTACTTTCACTCAAGTAGAGAGCAAGGCTGCTGAAGAACAGGGGGGTGAAATGACATTTTGTAGGAGGACGTTTGTCTTTTCTCTGTTGGGGACCAATTCATGCTACCTCTGATTTGGTGGCTAAAACCATTTTTTGGGGGGTGGGGAGGAGTTAATTAGGTTTCTTTCTTTAAATGGAGGTACTGAGGATTGCACCCAGGACCTCGTGCATGCTAAGCGTGTGCTCCACAGGTGAGCTACACCCTCCCCTCCTAGCTAGCTAAAATCATTTTGGAGGTAGGAGTCTTGGCTTAAGAAAGGCCCAAGTCAGCCCAAGCAGCCTTATGGTGTTGGCTCTTGCAGCGTCCGTATCAGTTCTCATCTGGGGGCATTTTCGCCATGCACCGCGGGGACGCTGGCAACGTGTGACGTTTAGAAAAGACTTGGGGAGCTCTTCTCCGGGTCATCTCATGACACAGCTCAGCCTCGTCAGAGAGGTCTTCCCTGTCCATCTTACAGTCATTACCTAGGATGGTCACTCCATTTATAGTCTTCATAACACTTAACAACGTCTGAAATTATCTTGTGTATGTGTGTACTTGTCTAGAAAGTCCTTGTCTAAATTTCACCTCCTCAGGCCTATGCAGCTCCTTCCTTTTTTGACCCCTCCTAGCACTTTATAATTCAGACTGACTTTTTCATCATTCCGCCGTGCCCCTGGATTCTGTGGACGTTGTGCGAGTCTCCTCGCCCTGCTGTGATCTCCTTGCGGACAAGGACTGGGCTTTACCCCTAGAGGCATTTCCTCCCAGAGTCCACGCTGCACAGTGCTGCTTACACTTTTGTTGACGGCTGTTGCACTGGCTCCCAGTTTGACTGCCTCCCATAGTGCAGCCAGGGAGCTTTCTCCTCTCGGGCATCTTCAAGGTGGAGACACAGTCTTTAGCAAACTAGATTTCACACCAGTGAATTCTTAAGCAGACAAGCAATTGCGAAGGCAAGAGATTGTCGAGTCGGGCTACTGTTTGAGCTCCTCTAAGTGTGTATTCTCAGCAGAACCAGGGAACTTGTGAAAGGCTAAGCGGAACACTGTGAGGGTTGTAAAACTCCACGCTATCAATGAAATGGTTCCTGATCTTCGCTCAATCACTCTTTTAAGCGGGCCCGAACCATGTTCTGAGATTCTCTTTTACTAGGATAATTCCGCTGAAGAAGAGAAAGCATTATATTCGAAAGAGTTAAGAGCTGGAAGAGACCTTAGAAATCATCCAGCCTGACTCTCCGTACTTAGTAAGATATGAGGAAACTGAGGCTTCAGGAGGAATTGTGTTCAACATTACCCAGAAGTCAGGGGCGAAGGTCGGATACCCAGGCGGCGCTCCTGACTCTTGGTCAGTGCTGTTTTCATCCCAAGGTTAGTCCCTTTAGTCCCCGCAGCTCTTCTGATGTGGTCATGTAATATGCTTCTTCCCCCAGACTGCAGGTTTCAGTCCTTTATGCACCCTGGCTGGTGGAATGGGAACCTGACTCCATGGACTGAGTTCAAGGACAGCAGGAAATCTCTCCCGTTTCCTCCCTGCCCCAGGCCCCCACCCTGGCCAGACACTGCTGCCAGAATTGCACCATAAAAGACAAGCAACTTTATATCCAGACATAATCTGTCCTTAGGCCAAAGGCTGCAACCTCAGATGCCCATGGGGGCTGAGTAGGTATTATACTGGTGAGTCGGCACAGGTCGGGCTGTGGGGAGCTGGAGAGCACAGGTCATGTCCAACGGGCCCAAGGAGGCAGCTGTGGGTCCACGCCAGCCAGAGGGGCCGTATCTTCTGTGTTTTCAAAGAAGCCAGAAAAGCACATTCTTCTTATTTGAACTCTTCAATTGTAAGCATTGGCAACAATAACAACAGAAAAATTAAAGTACTGTCTGCTCAGAAAACAAACACGTAAAACTCCTCTCCAAGCTGGACTTGATCTTTCTCACATAGGAGTGTGAAGCTATGTATAGACTCTTTCTAATGGTTGGAGGATGAGATCAAATAAAACGTATCCTCAGGGAGCTGCACGGAACACCAGGTTTGGTGGCGGGGCATGTGCAGGGCCTGCAGAAGGATGGGGTGAGTGAACTTGCATGACCAGGAGAGCGACTGCCTCCATCAGTTCTGCACCCTGGGTGCCTCATTTGCTTCACCCTGAACATGGCATGGGTGGAGTGTAGGGGAGAGGGGAGATATGAGTCAGGGGAACCACATCCATAGGTCAGGCTGAGTGGAAAGACACCAGGAAGGGGACAAAGCGGTGTGAAGGCCACCGAAGCCGTATGATGCTGCTCTGACTTCCCTGCTGTGGAGGGGCTGGGGAGATTGCATCCTGTGCTAACAGCACCACTGTTTGCTTCCATGCTATTGCCAGACCTCAGGAAGCCTTGACTCAAGTCTTGCCCCAAGCAACCTCAGCGGAAAGTGTGAGAAAGCAAGGAACATCAGCTGTTTTTTTTAATCTTTAAACCCAGCAAGGAAAGCAGTTGTGGACACAGTGCCTGGGCCTAAGGCCTCAGCCTTCTGACTGTCTGGGAGCCCCTGGAGCTGCTGAGGACCATTCATGGCAGGTGGGGAAGGGGGTGTCAGCCAACCCAGAGACCTCAGGAGCTTGCAGAGTCCTCTGCTTCCCCTGAGCCTCCTGGGGGGCAGGGCAGACTTGCTATTGAGGTGCCATTCTGCTTACTTCTGATGAAGGGGGTGGCTGGGCCTTTGCGGAACGTGACCTCCCTGCCTTCTGAGTGGAGCCCAGCAGGAATCTGGAGGAGCAAGACTCTGAGCAGCTTCTCCTGCTGCTTCTTTGGCTCTCCAGCCACACGCCTGCGGTTTGGGCCCAGCATCGCGGACAGCTGGGTTTGTTTTGGTGTTCAAACTTGGGGGGAGGGACATGATTTTAACATCGAAAAAATAAACTGTTTTCAGAAGAGAGAGAAGGCTTCCAGCAGGAGCCCTTGAAGGCTCTAACCTCGCCTGCTCCCTCCCAGTGTCAGAGAATCAACGCCTGATGGGAGCCAGCAGTTAGCAGCAGCTCTAGGGAAATGAACAAGCAATGTCGTGGGAGTTGGACCAAGTATCCCCGAGACGCTGGGAGGGTCCACATAGCCTCTACAACGGGGATCTCTGGGACCCCCATGTTTACCTGGGTCCTTGCTGCTATTTGCTGTTTTTAATACCTGCTACATGTGTCTGGGTCTCCAAACCCTGTGGGGGCGGTCTGAGAGAGCCCAAGAAGAGGAGGGACTCATGGGGACAGGTGACATGTGACAGTTGTCTACAAATGCTGGATGTTGGAGAAGCTGTCAATCAAAAGTCGGAAAAAATAGACTTCTATGGGACCCCAGACGATATAATTAGGACCTGATGTGGAGCTAAAGAAGGCATGTTTTCCTGTTAATATAAGCAAAACAAAAACAACAACAAAAATCAACTTTTTTTTAAAATAATCAGGGGTGTCTGCCTGTCAGTTGTTCTGACTAGCCTGTCTCCTCCTCAGAGAAGACTTCCATGAACTCCTCCCCTGCTCCTCCTCTATCTACATTTGATCATCCCTCAGTTATTCTGTACCATCCGTCGGTTTATTTCCCGCAAGTTACTTATCAAAGTCAATAAACACCATGCCTACTGCTTGCTCACTTGTTTGATTTCTGTCTGCCAGTCTGGGTGATCAGCTTCATGGGGGCAGAGATCTTGTGCCTCGCTGTCCTTGTCTTCCCAGTGCCTAGCATGTAGCCCGGCACATAGTAGGAACTCAGTAAACATTAGTTCTACTTAAGGCAACCTACAGATTCAATGCAATCCCTATCAAAATACCAAAGGCATTTTTCACAGAACTAGAACAAATAATTTTAAAATTTGTATGGAAACACAAAAGACCCCGAGTAGCCAAAACAATCTGGAGAAAGAACAGAGCTGGAGGAATCACACCCCTGGACTTCAGACTATACTACAAAGCTACAGTAACGGAAACAGCATGGTACTGGCACAAAAACAGACACATAAACCAATGGAACAAAACAGAGAGCCCAGAAATAAACCTATGCATCTACAGTTAATTAATCTATGACAAAGGAGGAAAGAATATACAATGGAGGAAAGACAGTCTCTTCAATAAATGTTGCTGGAAAATTGGGCGGCTCCATGTAAAAGAATGAAATGAGAACATTCTCTAACATCATATACAAAAAT